GCCAATTATCAAACAAGTATCCTTCTGGAAAATCCAATTTTATAAGTACTGTGCAGCAAATCGGCATAAAATATGGATCATAGTTTGAGACAGAATTTGACAGAGGTCAATATGTTTAAGCATCTGTCAAACATTACAGTTCATTTTTCATTGTGTAATGGTTCGTAATCCATTGCACATAATTTATATGCAAAACAGAGATCTGAAAGCTATTTATTTTGAAATATAACTGTGCATTCATGGTCATGATGCTGTTTTCCTACGATTTTAAACACTTTATTTTTTAATCATGGGAATAATAATAAAAAATACCTCATTATTGCATGTGTTTCAGGCACGTAACTATTAATCGATAAGTCAATTAAAATATTTATCACATTTAAGTATGCATCTATGAAACAATTGTGTCTTAAGGTAATTACGTAATTATCAGATGTTACATTTTGACAAATGGAATTAACACGACGGAAGACAAACCAAATAACAGCAACGATATTTAGAAAAATAATAATGAATAATTATGCACAAAAATATCTAATTATGGCCTTGAATTTGGACAATGTATGGTATATGAATGGGGGCGAATGCCCGATAGTCATCGTGAATGAATGGGCAGGTGCAGTCTAATAATGCAGAGTATTTTTCTCTCAAAATCTAACTCTATATATTGTTACAAGAAACACAATTTATAAATTAGAATAAATTAACACTTAGGTATTAATATTGGCAGGAGAATTGAAAGCACATGCCAAGATTTGAGTAGAATGTGGCTGTGCATGTAAATACAATTTTCAGTTATCAAGAGGAAATGTAACAATTTCTAAACACTACATACTGGAATATATATATATATGTGCCAGGGAAAGGGTGATGAGTGTGAGAAAACTTGAGAGAGGAGGATGTGGAGAGGTGGGGCAAATCGGGTGGGGGTGTTAATAAAAAGGTCACAAGTCAAATGTATGGAAGAAAATGGAGGTCTTCAGTCTGGGTTTAAATAGAGGCCAAAATGACATGCTACGAGATGGTGATTAGTGGATTATGAATCAAGAGACGTAGGCCTGGAGCAGGACTAATTCGGATCGTCAAAAAGTGAAAGAAAATATTGAAGGGAAATTGGGAGCTTTTGTAGCAAACTGTGGATCAGGGATTTTTGGTGGCTGTAGAAGACAGCATTAGACTAGTCAAGACATGATGCAGCAAAAACAGAGATATCACACAAGTAGAGATAGAAAATCCTGCAGACTTGAGAGAGCTCTGTATGAAGGATGGCATATAGGTATGTTATAGACATTCTTTACCAGCTCAATATCAGATTTCAGAAATCCAATACTGGGACTTTTTGCCAATAAGTCGGACCTCGTGTTTTATACATTGTCAATTGGCAAGAAGTGAAGACCATCTAAGACTCTAGGTAAAGGCGGTGTTGAGGCAAATCAATAAAGCAGACAGCGAGGTGGAATCAGGCGATTCGGTGGCGATGCACGTTTGGGTGTCATTTACGTAGAAACGGTATTCAATGTTGAAAATGGTAACTATTTTCTTAGGGAGGAGGACATAAAGGGTCGGAACAATTATTGGGCTTTGTCGTAAAATGGGTTTTTGAGAACAGGACACCCCTCTTATTGAGACATTGAAGGAGCAGGGTGACTGGTATTAATGGAAGCAGGAAAGAGTACCAGACATATTAACAACAAAGTCATCGTAGCCATGCGGGCATTCAAAGTGGATGGAGTGGTCGATAGGGTCAAAGGTGACCATGAGGTTCAAATGAATCAGATGGAGAGAAAACCTGCCATGAGAGAGGAGTACAGCAGAAGGACATTGATTACTATATTTAGAGTACATTTAAGAAAACTATGCCTTCATGCGTTCCCTGATCATTGTTTAAATTGGTTTGTAAATAATTTGCGTTGATTATGTCAAAAGTGAGATGAGTGCAATGGTCAAGTTATGGTTGAGCCAGAATATAAGAAGCCAATAGGAAAATGAGTTTGAAAGCGAGAACAAAACGTGCCTTTACAATTTTCATTTAGGCTCCTGTGCGTTGACTGATGAGTATTATTTTGTGATAATTGTAATACATAAGTGTGCCAGAGCACTATAGAGGTCTATATATTTTGTTTAAAACTAATTTCCTGAGAACTGCTTTGTGTTTAGTTTTCTGTCCGTCTCCTGCACCTCCGGTGAGCAAGGTTGGCTACGTACGATACGAACAAAGTTCAACATACATACATAAAGCATTGGATGCATGTTTAAATTGTCCGTCGGTTTTAATTCAGACAAAAGATGGCTAATTAACCCACGACAGGCAATGAATACTTTTCCTGAATACGTGCATGTGAAATTCAGTAAAACAATGCGAATTTGACAGTTTCCATTATGTTTTTTGGTTACACGAATGCCATAACAATATAAAATGACACTATAAACAGGCAATTTTTTAAGTGTCACAAAGATTGGATCAATTTATTCTCAATAAACTGAAACAATAGAAAAATACTCATATGGTAGTGTAACGTCATGTGGTTGATGATTTTATATTTGAAAGATGAGATAAATAAAAACGCAACTCCTTTACTATAAACTGGTTTTCATTTTACCAGGTAAAGCCCACTGAGCTATATAGTTATTTTTCAGAAGCGACCGGGCCACAACGAAGTGGCTTATCACATGGAAATGTATAGCAGCCAAATACTCTAAATGGATGTTTAGAATTGTGGAGGGAAAAACCAGAGGACACGGAGAAAAATCCACGTGACCACGGGGAGAACATGCAAACTCCTAATGTACAAGTGTCAGGGTTGGGATTGAACCCACGTCCTCCTATATACCAGGTGAGGGAGTTAACAGCTCGCCATTGTGGTGCCCCACACTGTGTTAAGCACGCATACACCAAACAACCCAATTTGTCAACCACGACTATCTTTTTAAATCCTTTATATTAAGTTCGCTTGCTTGCTTGCTTGCGTGCTTGCGTGCTTGCTTGCTTGCTTACGACCGTGCAAATCTTTCGGTCGTTTTTTAACCCACTTCCCGTAATCCAATCGAGCTGACATTTTGCACACAGACTCGTTGTGCGAGACAATTAATGTTCGTGAAAATTGTTTTCCAAAATTTTACACAGTTTAGGGAAAACTAATTAAATATTTAATTACCAATTTGCTTAATACTGGCAGACAATCATCTGACCCATAGGTGGCAGCCATCTCAAGCCAGAGGACGAGAGGACTCTCGCCGCCACGCATATAAAGGATTTATAGTGAAAAACTTTGTTTTTACGGGTTATACTTATTGTATGTAAGAGTTAGACAAGCTGCAGTAGATTTGAAGGCATGTTGTTTCTGTCAAAGAACATGTGCGAGTGAAAAATAATGTAAAAACATGTATTCTATCTCAAGTCACTTGAAAGTTATTATCTGTCAACATTGCCAATATAGTATTGATCACACTGCTCGTCTTTAATATACAGTGACACTTGCTGATGCATTCATGGATTCCCCCCCCCCCCTCCCTCTGTTTTGCTACACAATTAGTAGCGCATCCATGGGGAATCTGTAAGGGTGGGATTGCAGAGGAGGTTGAGAGTGGCGGTTGGACAAAGTCGGGTCCTCGGGTTCGGACATCTTGAGAGCTGCCGCCCCCCTCACCACCCCTCCCCCGATCGTCGCTCGGGCATGTTCACATTAGTCACGTCGTCATATTGTTACCCAAAACTAGCGGCGGCGATGTGATGCCTTTGCCAAATAATGACGCGCCCTCTTATCATACAGCAGCTGGAACAAATGCAGAGATAATCGGAAGGGGAAAAAATACCAGTCTGTGGAGGATGAAGAAAGGTGGGGGGGGGGGGGGGGCAAATGTCAACTGCCATAAAAAGGGGAACATTTGGAGCTAAATGGAGACCTGTGATTTTACATTCGATGTTCGGTTTCCAAACAGGTGTGAGCAAAGAGCTCATAGGAATAAGCCATCGTAGTGCAAAATCATTTCTTGTTTGAATTATACCTTGCTGTATATACAATGTTTAACAATTATATGGTCACGATATTATTTTGTCTGTGTAGAAAAGCCTTACTGTATATCAAGACTCATTTGCTGTGGGATTTGCTTAAAATATTTGGCCCATTTAATATATATAATACACAAGCACAAAAGTACATGACATGTTATGCAACGTGCTTACAGGTATAAATGGTGGATGCAGGGTCATCACATATATTACAAAAAATAGTTACAACCTACATGTCACAATTAAGCGAAGCCAAATATACTTACAAAAAATATTTAACAGGTAGTGTAGCTGTATCATGCCCCCACATAATGTATTAGTTTTTTTTTTAAATAAGACAATAATTTTTTATCGTGACAAGGATAGCTAATAAATTATATTTAATTTAAGCAACAATAAAAACATCCCTCTTTCAATCCGTTTCGAGACGACTTCCCCACACCATGTCGGTGTTGGGGTGAGACCTGACCATACTTCACCACACTGATCAGTGTAGGTAGGTGAAGGTCTACCCTGAAGCAGTTCAGATGTCACTCGCCAATGATGCTAGATTGAGCTGGGAATTGAACTCAAGTTCATAGCACAGTGGACAATCCACTGCACCACTGCTCCAGCCCAAAAAATAATCGTGAAACTAAATGTACAGCTATACATCATATATACACATACAGTGTTGTATAATTTAGGGTTGTACCTATACAATGTTTGAAATTATAGGTTGAAATGGTGTTTATATTTTCAGTGCATTATCCTATAGCATTTTCGTACACCATTGGATATAACCACAATCCATAAAAAGACTTATGCATATTTATTCAACAGAGTTTATAAAAATACCTTTTGGTGTTATCTACATTGACCAAAGTTCAAGACTTCATTAACTCACACGTACAGGGCATCTGTGTGTATGCATACTATATTTTTTTACAATAAATACTGAAACACTGCAATAAAATGCTTACGTAAAAAAAGCATATTCGGACACACTTACCCATTGACAGAAGCATGCAGCTCAGCACCATGGAAAACTGTAACCTACTTCTTGCGAGGGACATTATGACGAGTATGAGTTCCCTGCGCACAGACCGCTTGCTTTCTTGCTGCTGAGGCAAACACAGAAAGAGAGGGCACAATCCACTCAATGCATTACGTGTACTGAACGACCACTGGGTGCTGAAAGAGACAGCAGCCGCAGTCGTGCATAAAGCAGCAGCAGCAGCGGCGGTGGCGGCAGCAGCCCCTTCATTGCAGTGTCTCCGACCACGCGGCTGCCTCTTCTCCTGCACTTGCGCATAAGCAAGCGCATGTGGTTAATGCGTGTGGATCGCAACGCATCTGTGTGTGCAGATCGGGGTATCAAATTGGAGGCGTGTGTGATTTCAGGCAGCTGCAGTTTACTTTCGCTGAGCGGGGCCACTTTGCATCGAATTTAACAGCCGTTCCTGCACACATTATTCTACAAATTGGCGATGCATTTGTTAAAGAGGCGTGGCATGGCATATAGTGGCAGCTGCTGCTGATGTTTCTCATTGCAGAGAGCTCACCTATTAACACATTTATCGGGTTGGTCATTAGACTTATTAAGCCGGGGCGAGTGTGTGTGTGTGTTTGTGCGCGCGCGCAACCTGTGTGTGTGTGTGCGCGCACCTGTGTGTGTGTACGTGCGTCCAATGAATTTACCACTCACCACAATCGGTGATGAGTAGTTTGAATCTTGAGAGGAGCGTTTAATTGTGTCGTACCCAGAAGACCATAATAGCTCACAGCCGGTATCACCACACAGAGACCCTCCCACCACAACCTCTTGTGTAGGGCACCAACTGTCCCACTAGATTCCCGAGGTTTGGATGCCAGTGGGATGACATATGGGCACTTACTCGTAGGAGGGCACGGAATATTCTAATTGGGCTGTAAAAAAAAATCGGACGTTTAAATCTCTGGTCCTATATTACAATTAGAATACTGTGCAGGCGATGCTAATTACGAATACACAAATGGTTCTTTCGGTGAAGTCACGTAGATAGAAAATTAATAGATCACGACGTTTCGATCGCAACACAAGCAACCATCATCAGGTGAAACAAACACTGCAGGAGAACTTTTGGTGGGCCCAACCCAATGGTAAGTGGGCGGATCTAGAGAAGTAATTTGTACGTAAATGTAAGAGATTAGCATGTCAATGCGAGACGGCTCCAGCAACCGGGGGGTTGTGCCAATGAGAAGATTAGCATGTCAATGTCAGAGAGCCGGGCAACAGGAACAAAAGACCCGCAAGAGCAAGAGATACACATGGAGAGAGAAAGACACAGAGAGAGAGAGACACACAGAGGGACAACCCACAAACAAAGAGGTACATCCACAAAGAGAGAGACACACACACAAACACACACAGAGACACAGAGAGACAACTACAGAGAGAGAGACACACACATAAAGAGACACAAGCACATAGAGAGAGACACACACAGAGAGACACACAGAGAGAGACACAACCTGGAGAGATACAGAGAGAGAGACACGTAGAGAGAGAGACCCACAGAGAGAGAGACACATACGGAAACACACACAGAGACACAACACAGAGAGAGAGACACACAGAGAGACAACCACATAGAGAAAGACACACACACAGAGAGACACACAGAGAGAGATATACACAACCTAGAAAGACAGAGAGAGAGAGAGAGAGCGACACACGTAGAGAGAGAGATCTACACACAGAGAGACACATACGGAAATACACGCAGACACACCATAGAGAGACAGAGAGAGAGAGAGAAATTTGAGACAGATGCCATTCAGACATCCACCCTACGTCCTTCCTTGTGGAAGAGATACTGTAGATGACACGTTCGTCATCTGGCCACATGGCCAGCCAGCACTAAACCAATTCTTCAACCACATCAATTCTATACACCCAGGCATCAAATTCACCATAGAAGTGGAAAAGGATGGCAAGTTGCCATTCCTAGATGTTTTGATCGAGAAGATATCTGATGGCTCGTTGGGACATTCTGTCTACAGGAAAGCCACCCACACAGATGCCCATCTAAAGCCCGACTCCCACCACCATCCAGCCCAGAATAATTCCCTCATCAAAACACTACACCATAGGGCCCATTACATCTCCGACCAGCACCACCTAGCCAGCGAGCTGGAGCACGTACACTAAGCCCTCAGGATGAATGGATATTCTGACTGTACAATCCGCAAAGCTGTCTCCCCAGCCACGGGGAGACAACCATTGGAGGACCCAATCAAAACCATCACCTTGCCATACATAGGGGTTACCAAAAATATTTCCAAAATCTTAAACAAACACAGATCCAGGTTCGTTTCAATACAGTACACAAAATCCGTGATGTGATCCCATCTGTAAAGGATGTGATTCCTGACATGCAATAACCTGGTGTCTACAAACTAAGTTGTGGCAGCGGTAGCAGTTACATTGGGGAAACGAAACTAAATGTCTCGGACCGTGTTCGCGAACATAAGGCAGATCTGAAACACGGAAGGACCAATACCTCTGCCGTTGCTGATCATTGTTTCAACGCTGTGGGCTCACACGAAATTGATTTTTCCAAAACGAAGGTACTCTGCAAACCCACCGGCTATCATCAGAGATTTGTTCATGAAGCCATCCAGATATATAAAACAGACACAACTTCAACCGAGAAGATGGGTACGTTATTAACCAAGTAAAGTCTTAACTGACTGTCATGTTTCCATCCTACCTGCCTATGTGAGCTGTTATTTCCGACTCTCTGAGTGCATCACCAGATTAAATGGTTTTACAGTAACGGGCTAAGTGTCTGAATAACACAGCTACCGTTGCCCCTTCCCCTCGATGTGGCGGGAACTCTCGTTTGTTAACAGACTATAACTGGCTGTGATGTTTCCGTGTATGTGTCTCTTTCTGTTTGTTTGTCTCTATGTGTGTGTATTTCTCTCTGTATGTGTCTCTATGTGCGTATCTCTCTCTGTGTGTCTCTCTGGGTGTATGTCTCTCTCTCTGTGTGTCTTTCTATGTGTCTCTCTCTATATGCTTGTGTCTCTCTATGTCTGTGTGTCTCTTTCTCTGTGGTTGTCTCTGTGTGTGTGTCTCTCTCTGTGTATTGTCTCTCTGTTTATGTGTATCTAAGTGTGTTTCTCTCTCTCTTTGTGTCTCTGTGTGTGTGTCTCTCGCTCTCTCTGTGTGTCTCTCTGTGTGTAGGTGTCTCTCTCTGTGTGGGGGTTGTCTCTCTGTGTGTCTCTCTCTCTGTGTGTCTCTCTGTGTTGTGTCTCTGTGTGTGATTCCGTATGTGTCTCTCTCTCTGTGGGTCTCTCTCTCTACGTGTATCTCTCTGTATCTCTCTAGGTTGTGTCTCTCTCTATGTGCTTGTGTATCTTTATGTGTGTCTCTCTCTCTGTGGTTGTCTCTCTGTGTGTGTCTCTGTGTGTGTCTTTGTGTGTGTCTCTCTCTAGGTGGATGTCCTTCTCTGTGGGTTGTTCCTCTGTGTGTGCCTCTCGCTCTCTCTGTGTGTCTCTGTGTGTTTCTCTTTGTCTGTGTCTCTCTCTCTGTGTCTTTCTCTCTCCATGTGTATCTCTTGCTCTTGTGGGTTTTTTGTTCCTGTTGCCCAGTTCTCTGACATTGACATGCTAATCTTCTCATTGGCACAACTCCTGGTTGCCTGGAGCCGTCTCACATTGACATGCTAATCTCTCACATTTACGTACAAATTCCTTCTCTAGCTCCGCCCACTTACCCTTGGGTTGGGCCCACCAAAAGCCTCTATAACCTCTTGTTGCAGCAGCTCTTTCTCCTACGTCAGCAGTTCTCCTGCTGTGTTTGTTTCACACCTGATGACGGTTGCTTGTGTTGCGATCAAAACGTCGTGATCGATTAATTTTATATCTACGTGACTTTACCAAAAGAACCAAAGAGTATGGATTCCTGCAGTCACGAAAGCTTCAAATAAATAATGACTCATAGTGTTTGTTATGAATTATAATTGTTCATATTGCTTCACGATTAAAATAAATACGACTGGATGATCGGATATTCAAATGTTTTTTGACACACTATAAGAATATGATATTGTATTTAGTAATTGTACGTACATAAAATGCGCATGTGTGTATAGTCTTCGTGTTCTGACAGCTCATTGCATGTTTGTGTGTTTGACAGGTGTTAAACATTTCAAAGCAAGTTTTGGGAAATGTATCGATCTTTGAATCTAGAATGAAATAAACTAAATAAGCCGAGTAATAGGCTTAACATAAGGCACTGCTTTTTATCATTAGCCACTTAGGCGTTCAACTGTTTTTGACGGAAATATAATTCACACAATTCTAAGGATGTGTTCTAAAGCTGGTTTTATGACATATTAACTGGCGAATTGCTGCCGTGTATTTCGTCACGCATTTCCCCACCTATTTTATATTATTTCTTTGCAATGATACCATCCGTTCCCCGTAAGTGAGTTCGTTCCCGTATAACGCTTGTTTTCATAATGCGAATTAGATATGACGCGATTAATGTATTCGGGAACAGAACACGTGGTTGTGCTGCTGCCTCGGCGTTGCATCGCACAGGGCGGGATCCTGCTCGATGTTTCCAGATGCTACCCATGCGCATCAATCTTTGTTCAGCGTGCATACGCATCTCACGTGTTATCGCGGGCTGTGCATTACCCTACATTATATACTATTATTATAACGCGATTTTTCCATAACGCGGTGTTCTTCATGAATGCAACTATAGGAGAACAGACTTTATTTGTTGTGGTTTATGTTTTAATGTCGGTATTTATTCATATTCTGAACAAACTTGACTCTTATCTTCACTTACAGCCATCCACATTTATCTGTCAGCCGTATCCTAGTCTTGTTTTCGGCACGAACAATGCTCTTTCCATGACAATGTTGGTGTTAACGAGTACAGAACTCGGGTAAATATAATTAGTTGGATCTCCTAAAACATCTTCTGCAGTTTAAACTCTGTATTAACTCAATCTAATGCCAACTTCAGCTGGCAGCTTGGTGATTTCTGGCTGTGCTCAACAAAAGGGATATTTCATATATGCAGTGCCCAAAAGTAGATAGTGTCAACACACAATGTGTAATATCCCCCATCACC